TTCCCCTCGGCCTTTCCCTTTCCCTTTCCCCCCTGCCTTTCCCTTTCTCTCTCGGCATTTCCTTTCCCTCACAGCCTGTTTTTTTCTTTCCTTAAAGCCTTTTTTATTCCTTAAGAGCTTTTTTTCCTTAAGACCTTTCTTGCCTTAGAGCCTCTTTTCCCTCCTCGGAGCCTTTTTCTTTCTCCTCTTTTTCCTTTCCCTCACAGCCTGTTTTTTTCTTTCCTTAAAGCCTTTTTTATTCCTTAAGAGCTTTTTTTCCTTCTCCTCTTTTTCCTCTTTTTTCCTCTTTTCCCTCCTCGGAGCCTTTTTCTTTCTCCTCTTTTTCCTCTTTTTCCTCTTTTCCCTCCTCGGAGCCTTTTTCTTTCTCCTTTTCCTTTTCCCCTCGAGCCTTTTTCTTTTCTTAAAAACTTGCAGTCTAATATTAGTCTTTCTTAGTCCAACACGAGTCTCAGACTAAGACCACTGTTCTTTTCTCAAAGCTTCTCCCTTCCTGCAAGTGATTCCTTGCTGGAATTAAAGAGATCACCAATTCCTTGCTAGAATTAAGAGATCCCTGAGCTCACGCTGCTCTGGGTGTCCAGGTGTCCCCTTCCCCTCCTCTGCTTCACGCGCATCATCCCAGCGGCTCCTTCCTTGTTCCTAAAGCCCCTCTCCCCTCTCTCCCCAGCCATGGATGGAGTTCCTTTCACACTGCACCCCAAATTCGAACCCAAGCTCCGCTCTGGCAGCAACGTGAGTCTTTAAGCTCCTGTTTTCAGTTCTACCTCCTCATTAGTCTTGATTAGAAATATTTCATGTTGTTTTGTTTGTTTTTTTTAGGCTGTCCTTGCAGAGCTGAATGTTAAATCACTCGCTGATATCGAGAGAGAGGTAAGGAAGGAAGGGGGGTGCTGTGGCCAGGCACCTCTTTTGGGGTGAGTATCAGTTGTATTCTGAATTTCTCCAGTCCCAGTGTCTTCTGACTAATGATTTTTGTTGTTTTCAGTACAATTATACATTTGTAATCGAAAGGACGGCTGCTGCCAGGCTCCCTCCCAGCATTTCTTAGCACCCGACTCCACCTCAAGGATGTTCCAGTTGAGACTGGATGATTTTTAAATCTATTTTCCAACCAAAACGATTCTGTGATGTAAATTGTGGCCAAACATCCACCTTGTCTGAGCTCCTCTTTCTCTCTGTGTCTCTTTCTTCTCTGATTAAATTTCAAGGTACTTGAAGAAACGTGATCAATACCTGATTCCAGGACTTGCTTGAGGAGAAAAAAAATCAATCTGGTTCTCTTCTCACCTGCCAAAATATTTCTTGTAATGGTTTTTAAAATAGAGCAGCACAGTGTTTACAAGTTCTTGGCAGTGTTTGTTCTACACTTGCTCACCACTACAACTTTTTATTAGGAATATTTCCTCCTCTAAGGCTGTTTCTGGTGTGTAAGAACTCCAACCCTGCGGCTTCACCTTCCCTTTGGTGCTGTTTTTACTCCTGCACTCAAAAATAATAATAAATAATAATAATAATAATAATTAATAATAAAGCTTTCAACCCCACAAAGGAAATTCCAAACATGTTTCAAAATACATCGAGTTTTGATTATTGTTTTAGTTACCAAATTCTGGGAACGTGAGGACAGTACAAAACTCCCGTCAGCTGGTATCACACACGTCCTGGAAACATTAAAAAAGTCCAAGATCTTGTTTCACACAAGTTACTTTCCACATGATTTAGAAGATAAAGTTTCCCCACAGCCTGTTTCATGAACAGGATCAAAAAATTCTTGTCCAATAAAGAATGAAAGATGATTTTTTGTGATGGTGAAACACAGCCCTGGGGTGCTCGTCCTTGGTGTGAGCGGCTGCTCGGGGTGAGGACCTGGGGATTTGGTTCAGGAAGGCACTTTCAGTTTTGCACTCCCCAGCAAAAACTGAAGAATTCGATCCACTAACAAGGCGAGGAAGAAATCAGCCACCAACACTTGGGTGATGATGATCTTGAACTAGGAAAACAAACACAACCTGTTAATTCTCCTCCCTGTGTCCCCGTAGAACGGAGCCGCTGCCCCCCGAGGTGCTACCAGCCCCTGCAGCCCAACTCCTTCCTTCCACAGCGTGCTGGGAAAATTGATAAACTGCAAAAAAGTCACAGCAGATGCTGGAAAAATTGCTAAATTGTACAAAAAATCAGAGCAGAGGCTGTGAAAATTGCAAAAAATTCAGAGCAGATGCTGTGAAAATTGCTAAATTGTACAAAAATTCACAGCAGATGATGTGAAAATTGCAAAAAATTCAGAGCAGATGCTGGAAAAATTGATAAACTGTAAAAAAATTCACAGCAGATGATGTGAAAATTGATAAGTTGTATGAATTTCACAGCAGATGCTGTAAAAATTACTAAATTGTATGAATTTCACAGCAGATGCTGTGAAAATTGCAAAAAATTCAGAGCAGATGCTGTAGAAATTGATAAATTGTACAAAAATTCAGAGCAGATGCTGTAAAAATTGATAAGTTGTAAAAAAATTCACAGCAGATGCTGTGAAAATTGCAAAAAATTCACAGCAGATGCTGTAAAAATTCCTAAATTGTACAAAAAATCAGGCAGATGCTGTAAAAATTGATAAATTGTAAAAAAATTCAAAGCAGAGGCTGTAAAAATTGGAAAGTTGTAAAAAAAATTCACAGCAGATGCTGTAAAAAT